GAGTTCCACCCCGGCGAGAGAGAATAGGAAGAGAGAGAGAGAAACAGAGAGGGCTGATCAGCGTGCAGCTGATCCGCCTGGCCGTGACAGTTTCAGTTCTTTAGAGTTCACTCAGAGGCCTGTATGCCAGCTGGGGAATTCAACCTGCAACCGTGCAGACTCTTGTGAGCGACTTGAACGAATGCTTTCCTTAGAGATTGATCACCCTTATGTGTGTGTGTGTGTGTGTGTGTGTGTGTGCCTATAATAACTGCCCCATTTTCCAGTGAAACCTGATGGAATAGAAACCACTCTGAGATATGCCCAGTGGAATTTGATTTTTAGAAAGGTTTCTAGGTTTTTAGTAAACAACAATCTTCAGATTGTGTTTCCAAGTACATGATTCACTTTATACTCAGTACTTTATTGAGTTTAGTTTAGGCAGATAAACCTATTTCTTCCTTGTTAAGAGCCTCTGTCATACATCATACAGCATCCAATAATAATGCATACTTTAAAGAATAATAAACTCTCACGTCACCATAAAACTGGTTATTGGGATTTATTCTCATACTTAAATACATAACGCATAAATTAAATGACTTGGAATTCATTTTAGGAAGAGAACTGATGGCTAAAAACACAAAAAACTATTAAAACACAGAATTTCTAGTTGTAGAGAGTTGGCAAGGCTCTCCTGTCGTTTCCTCATTAACATTTTTCAATTCTTCTTCAGTGGCGTCTTGGTTCATCTCCCCCTTGCTCTCTGGACTCATGTCTGGACTTCTCTTTATGCTCATCAGACACTTCATCCTCAACAAGGTAGGCGCACATCACTTCCAACTAATGCTGTGTTCAGTTTTGTGACACTGCCCTTGCATTTGCAGCCGTTGCACTCTCCGCACTCACACTTAGCTGCCAATCTGGTCATTTTAATATAAGAAATCGGAGACAGACTTGCACGTGTACGCCCAACTTGTCTGAAAGAACTTGAGCACAGATAAAAACCCATTTGATATGGCAACACCCGCGTATTTGTTATGTAATGGGAAAGCTCTGGCAGACTAGGAAGTGCTGCAGATCATCCGAGGGTCATGACTGCAGGATTATATATGAGTGAGTCACGGGAAGATTTGCCGTTTGGGCCGGTGTTACTGCATAGATGGGTCAAATTAGGAATGAGTTCATTTTTGCGTCTGCGGGCTATTTGCATCAGAATATTCTATCTTTCTGTTTTGTGTTTGCAGGGTTGAGATTTGTTACTTCTGTAAAATCCACATCCCATTTAGTGTCATTTTACATTTCACCTGCCTCATTAGTCATATTAATTATTAACCTTCTGATAAAAGCAAGCCATGGTTGTGCAAGATGGAATAATTGTATTACTCCACACCTTTAAATTGACCTGAGCTAAACTTTTAGCCAGAAGATGTTCTCATTTTAGCTAATATGTTATTGTGTTGTACATGTTTTGTTTTATGATTTATTATCATTATTGTTGCATTTCCTTTTTTACTTCACAGGATGACTCTGTTCCAAACGGATTGCGAGCATTGCCCCTCTTCTACGCCTCCACCATTGGTATCAACACATTCTCCATCATGTATACTGGAGCTCCATGTAAGTGCTTATTCCCAGTATATCTCTGATTATTTAACCTGACACCAGTGTATGATCAAATTATCACCTCAGGGATGGAAGCGCTTGTTAGTTTGCTCAAAATTCCTCTTGAATGTGTGATGCCAGAACATGATTTTGTATTTTTTATTTTTTTTAATGTGCGTTCATTAACTGCAGTGCTCGGGTTGGAGATGCTACCGGTGTGGGCCATCTTTCTCATCACTTTAGCTGGCTCGCTGGTCTGCGCAGCTCTGGTCTGGATATTGGTCTGTCCCTGGATGAGGAGAAAGATTGCAAGTAAGTATCTGTTAAATTTGGTTTAGGGTTAGGGTAAGTGTTGTGTTTAGGCATTTGGTTTTATGTAAACGAATGTCCTCACAAGGATATCCATACGTGTGTGTGTGTGTGTGTGTGTGTGTGTGTGTGTGTGTCTGTGTGTGTGTGTCTGTGTGTGTGTGTGTGTGTGTGTGTGTGTGTGGTGTGTGTGTGTGTGTGTGTGTGTGTGGTTGTGTGGTCTGTGTGGTGTCTGTGTGTGTCTGTGTGTGTGTGTGTGTGTGTGTGTCCAGTCTGTCTCTGTCACGCCATGTGAAAACGCTCTGACACCAAACAACGGAAGTCAGGGCATGTGCTTTCTTGTTGGCCTCTGCCAGAGGCACTAAAGCCACCAGAAAAATCCCTGTGAACTCTCCAGTGCTCCACTTAGATTTTTGGGCGTAGAGCTACTTGGTCAGATGAAAGAGGCTAAGATCGTGGCCTGCAGTGTAGAAAGCTTTCAGGATCAGGGCTGGGAATTGTTTCCCTAATGGGAAAACCAGCCCACAGCAAAGCAGGCAGTGCTGTAAAACTCATGACACAGAAAATTAAAACATTGGAAAAAGTAGACAGTGGTGGATAAAGACAAGGCACAGCTCTGTTTATTTTAACTTTGTGCTGGATAAATAAAAGGTTCTTTGTGTAAGAGCTCAAACACTTGATCTAAAAAATCTGATCGATGCCAGAAATGCTTTGCACTATAAAGAAATATAAATAAAATTTAATAAGAAGCCGAGTGGTATTTATAGGCCATGAAAAATAATATCTATGTTTAGGCCAAAGAAATGAATGTTTTTTTCCATTGACTCGTGGTTTGTGTGACCGTGTCATGAACCCCCTAATGCCTGCGAGGATTACAGGTAAAATTATTGGTGCTAATCTGGATATTACTGCATCCACTTAAATAAAACAGGTCATAACTCTGATTGGGTTTTTTTTTCTCTACTGGGGTATTCAAAGAGTCGGGTAGGCACTGGGATAATTTAGATAATCTGTTTCTTGTCAGAAGTTTTGTCTCCCGAACCTGAAAGCAGAAGCAACAGCTTTTTTTAAGCGTGAAAAGTTGCAAATAAATTCTAATCTTTTTTTTTCTTTCCCTTTTTTTGTCTAACTATTGTTTTGCTTTCTTAACTGGCTGCCATCCAGATTGGTTTCCTTGAAATCCTTTAATAATAAAAGGCTGCCACAATACAGTTGTGGCTTTCCTTTCATGATGGATTTAAAGCAACCTGCAAAAATGTCCTAACTCGGTGCTCTTTCAACTGCTGCTTGATCTCCTCCAGGTCGTTTAAAGAAAGAGCAGGCTCTGTCGAGGATTTCTGATGAGAGCCTGGATAAGATCCCTGAAGAGGAGGAGGAGAGCCCTGTCTTCAAAGAGTTACCAGGGGCGAAGGGCACAGATGAGGCTGTGATGCCGCTCACAGGTGGCAGCAGTGACCGGGGCACCCGCGAATCCAGCAGCGAGCTCACCAACCTGGCGAATGGAGGCACTATCCTGCCAAACGGCAGGGTGTATGGTACAACTGGACATTTATAATAATATTTGATAAGAGGAGAGTAACTATAGCTTTATTTATGCTTTAATACTTATTAGCATAAATAAACTTGCCATTAATGGAGATCAAACTCGTCGGTCATCATCATTAATATCCTGCTCCCACGCAGACTTTTCATTAATCGTCTGTCTTCCAGGTCGGACACACTCAATGACGAACGGCAGCCTCAAATCCCCCATCTCTAACGGCAGCTTCAGCTTCGATGGCCACATGCGTAGCGATGGCCAGGTGTACCACACGGTGCACAAAGACTCGGGTCTGTACAAAGACCTGCTTCACAAAATCCACCTGGGCCGCATGGATGACAACGAGCGCTCCAACGCCGGCCCGCCTGACAACAATTACCGCCTGCTGCGCCGCAACAACAGCTACACCTGCTACACAGCGGCAATATGCGGCATGCCCGTCCAGCCGATGCGCTCCGAATCACGCGAGGACAGTGAAAAGCTGGTTGGTGAGGGAGGCGGCAGGAGCAACAGCGTGTCTTACTCCAAAAAGCGGATACGCTACGACAGCTACTCATCGTACTGTAACGCCGTGGCCGAGGCTGAGATCGAGGCCGAGGAGGGCGGAGTGGAGATGAAGCTTGCCACAGACCTGGAAGGGGTGGAGGAAGAAGGGGCTGCACCTCCAGGGCCGGACGACTTGGAGGATCAGGAGGAGAAGGACAAACCTGAGGTGTTTCTGCTTTTCCACTTCTTGCAGATCCTCACCGCCTGCTTCGGTTCTTTCGCCCACGGAGGCAACGATGTCAGGTGCTGCCCCCTACGTGTTGCATGACAGATAGCGACCTTTATGGTCCAGAGTACATTTCTCTGTCAACTAAATATAAAAAAATCATCTTCACGCTGCTCTTTGGACTTGAGTATATAATGCCTGAATAAGGTTTTTATCTACTTTCTTGTTTGTAGTAATGCCATTGGGCCTTTGGTGGCACTGTGGATGATCTATGAACAGGGCGGTGTGATGCAGGATGCTGCCACTCCTATCTGGCTGCTGTTTTACGGTGGTATAGGCATCTGTGCCGGCCTGTGGGTATGGGGCCGCCGCGTCATCCAGACCATGGGGAAGGACCTCACTCCCATTACCCCCTCAAGGTGAGAAAGTCGCCTCACAGGAGAGTGAGTGCACATGTGCGTGTCTGTGGATGCGGTTGGGTGCGTTTGAAGGAGAGTTGTGCTGCAGAGGTGAACTATCCACCATGCTTTGGTTTTACGCGCTCCATAGAGCCTCAACACGCTGACACAAACAAGTTCATAGAGGGCTCCCAGCCTCCATGGTGAGTACTTACTTTCCCACAGCCGTATTAGAATGCTTATGCACAATGTCTTAAAGGCAGTAAAGTGCAAATGAACAATCAGAAGATACTTAGTAATCCATGTGCAGACAGCAAAATGCATAAAGCAGTTTGTCTGTTGTGTAACTAATGAATGTTCTGATTTTCCCTCACTCTCTGCCAGGGAGTGACCTGCACACACAGTGTTGATGTGCACTCATGTTTATCATCAGAGGTCAGACAGATCGTTTAAGTGAAAAGATCTGTGTGTTCAAATCCATTACATTTGAGTTTATTAGGTAAAATACAAAGACTGAATGGATTTTTTTTATTACTTTTTCCTGCTATAAACGTATAAATAAAAATTTGGTGATAAATAAATCTTGATCTCAGCATTAAGCACGCTATTTATGATTTTGGGAATCATCCCAGACTTTGCTAGAAATAATTCTTACTACTTTTTTACAGAAATCTGCTTTAATAATAGTAACTTAGTAGTGCCTAGGGAGTGAAATAGTAGTGCTTTTTTTTTTCTCAGATTTTTTTGACCTATTACATAAAAAATTCTGAATAAACAAGTAGACTTTCGGACCACAACAAACAAAGCCTGAGGACACTGGCTGTCTGATAACCTGAGCAGTAGACGTCTCACATCCACAAACCCGTGCTGTTGCTCTGTCCTTGACTTCAGTCTCCTCCTCCCTCTCTCTCTTCTCTTCCCACGCATAAGATGAAGAGTTTGCGCGTGTGTGTGTGTGTGTGTGCGTGCGTGCGTGCCCGCGTGTGTCTGTGCATACCACAGAGTTGTTTGTGTGCTGAGGAAACCGAACTCTGCAAGTCACTGTGCATTGAATGTACTGTATGTGTCCGAGCATGCGTGCACATTAGGGTCTAATTGTTCCAGCAAGGTGTTTTGAGGTGTGTGTGTGTGCTTGCTTGCGTGCGTGCGTGCATGTGTGTGTTTGAGTGGCTGTGTTTTGTTGCCTGGCAGGAACATCACACAGGGTTGCAGGAAGCTGTTTGGCATTCTGGGTGAAGAGAAGTAGAGCAGGAGGGGTGAGGGAGGGCCACAGTGGGAACCGTAGCCTCTCTTCTCCAACCGCAGGGAGGGACGCCAGTCTGACTCTTGCACTTTTCTTTTCCCCCCATCCTCCTTTCTCCTTCCTACCCACTCCTGTAAATCACTATTTTTGTGGTTAACCCTCTTCTTCTTCTCAGCGCCCTGCTTTTTTCTTTTTCTTCATTCCTTTACATCTTGTTTTTTTTTTTTTTTACGTCTCACCTAAAGAGCTTTCTCTCTCTCTCTCTCTCTCTCTCTCCCCTTTTCCCTAAAGTCTCTTTCTCACGCTCACGCCCACGCCATCTCATTATTTTCCCTTCCCTCATTTCTCCTCTTTTTGTTTGGGCTCTCTCTTCTTTGTCTGTCTCCTTTCTCTCTTAATCTCCCTCCTTCCATCACCAGCTTAGACTTTTTGCCAGGACCCAAAGACAAATTTGCACTGGTTCACCGTTCTAAAGACTTGATTTCCTCCAGTGTCTGTTTCCATGCATCACTCTGAAAAGAAGTTTGTTTGGGGCAAGGACACGGAAGTGTTTATATGTGTGTCTGCGGTCTATGTGCCCGGGAATATATTTTAGCAGCCGCAGCGAACACCTAAAAAGTGCAATGTATCACAGCAGTAAAAAGACTTTTGAAACTTGAAGTATGGATTTTCATCCTTCTGCCCAGCTCTGCTGTTGAAGCACCACAGGGACAGATTGCTGCAGATCTACCAGGCTCTGCAAAGCTTAACCAGCAGAACTCAGAGAAACACAAACAATCATATCTCTTTGTGATGAGTCGATATGGCACACTTGTCCAGTTGTGTATAGTTTATTGTTGCTGTTGAGAGGTGGAGCGAATGATGTGAGTTTTTTCTGTAGCTTTCTTGCAAGACCCTCTACTCCTACATTCTGACATGAGCTGGGGGAAAGCACAGGTCTAAGTAATACAGTTAACATTTGCCTAATGGCTATCAATTTCTGTAGGCCATGAGTTGGGGCCAAGTGGCCATTTACAAATGGGTTCAAAATTAATCAGGTGACATCACTGGTGCTCTGCTGTCTTAGAGATTGGCTCCTGCTGCTCGACCACTCCACACTCCGCCTGCAGTGACATTTAAATTTCAGTCGTATCTTCATCTGGAACCTTAGCTCAGTGTTTCTGACGAATGTTATTGGCTGCCATCTAGTAAGAAAAAAGCCACATTTTTCTCCTTTTAAGTTGCATTTTCATGCATTTAGTTTAATTTTTTTCCCCTCTTTTATGATTTGGAAGTTTATTCTAATGTCTAATGTCTTCTCTGTGTGTGTCCTGAAAGCAGCTGGTGGCTTTAGAGAAACTGTCTTCTAGTAAGCACAAGGCAGCACAGAAACACACCAACACAAAGGCCTGTTTGTATATCACATACTGAAACTGTGTCCATTATGAATAACACACTGGTGTGTAATACCTGGTAGAAATGCTGTGTTTAGTTGTGTGTGTGTGTGTGTGTGTGTGTGTTTGTTTGTTGAGCTGTGTGTGTGTGTGGTGTGTGTGTGTGTGTGTGTGTGTGTGTGTGTCGAGTCACGTTTATCTATGACGTGTGTGTGTGTGTGTGTGTGTGTCAGATATTTAATATTATTTCTGTTTTTCAAATGTGTGTTGGGTATACTTTAAAGAACTGCTGAATGCTCTGCAATGGTTTTATATGTGGATGCCAGTGAGATCGTGCCATCATGAGCATCATCCAAGACATCACAATGAAGAATGTCTCTTTGCTCCCTCCCCCCTTCCCTTCCTCTCCCTTCCCTTCCTTCCACAGTGGATTCACTATTGAACTGGCTTCTGCAGTCACAGTCGTGTTCGCTTCCAATATCGGAATCCCTGTCAGTACCACACACTGCAAGGTATGACTGAGTGGCCTTCCAGCTGGCCTCTCAACTCCCTCTCAGGCATTTCCAGGGGACGGGGAGCTCACACTGCCTCCCAGGCCGCCGGGCTGGACTGAGCTAGAATCGCACACACACACACACACCGCTTTAGCTATAATTAGTGCTTAGTCATGTCGTGAGATAATTAGCTAAAATCTGTTTTAGTTTACTATAATTTTATGCCTACCTCCCTACAAGTGCTCTGCTTCTTAGTTAAATTTCTCCACAGAAATCAAAGCTCAGATTATTGTGGCAGAGAAAAAAAAGGATAATTGCAGTTTATGAAAACGTGGGTCTTATTTATTAGTTTTGACCTTCTTTTCTGTCTGTTGTGATCACTTGTACAAGCTAGGCCGAAAGCCGTGAGCACGGCATCATTAGTCCAACAAAGTCAGTAACACGGGCCCTACTGTCGGGTGTGTTGTGGTAAAAAAAAAAGCAAGAAAGTATTTTCCTGTGGAAATCAGCAGGGAGCCTGACTCGGTTAAATTTCCTAATACCAGTTTTACAGTTACATTTTAATTTTATCATTAAAATCTCTTTAAACATTATCCTCTAGCTGATTTACTGAAATCCAGGCGATAAAAATTCTCGTAAGTCTGAGTTGCCTTTAATTATTACAGGGCGCTCCAGGCGGCTTTTCAAATAGCAGAAGAAGCTCTGCTCAATTGTTTTTGGTCCGATTTGCCATTTCTATCATTTCCATCCTCATGAGTATGAAAAATGAACCCTAATATTTCCAGTTTGGTAAAGTGTTTCCCACAGTGATCACAGTAACAGCATCGTTAGTAGAAATCGTTGTCAAAACGATGTAAATGCCACTCATTTTCTCATAAACGAGACTTATCCTCCGCAGGAACTGATAATCCTAACCAATCTTTGAGGTGCATGAGAAAATCAAAACGAATCCATGTCCAGCCCGCTACAACCAGCCCCAGGCAGCAGTGTGCAGCCCCTCTCCCCTGTTCTTTTCAGGAACAGCAGATCGAGGCTGGAATTCGAGACGGACCCCACCAGTCCCAGTCCTCCCCTGCCCGCCCCCATCAACACGGTGTCTCATTCTCTGTTTCATTTCCACTAAGTCTCTTCCATTTTGCCCTCTTAGCACTGGCATGGTTTGGTGTGTGGGTTTTCGACCCTGCCGTGCTTGTCCGCAAGCAGACCTCAACCCCCCCCCACCCCCCCGAAACCCACCTGTCACACTTGTTTTCCACTTTTTTTTACCTCTCCATCTTTCTCTGTCTGTCTCTCTACTCATCTATCTTCACAGCGGATTTTGCATTGAAGTAATGAGTGCGCTAACAGTGCTTGTTGCATCAAATGTGGGCATCCCAATAAGCTCCACCCACTGCAAGGTATTGGTAGTGAAGTCATCCTAGAGAGCCCTCCGGGAGCTCGCCTTCATCGCTTCACCTGTAGCTGTCAATCGCCAAAGCCAATCACAACTCCCGAAGTTGACGTTTTGATTTCTCGTGCAGTTTTCCTTCAGCAACACAACCCCAAGTTTGACTGAAAGGTAGCTTTGTTAGATTAAAGAATGTTATCAGGCAGTTACGTGCATGTTTATTAGACATACAGCAAATACATAGATATCATCTTTATTTATTTATTGTTTTTTGTTTATTAAATTAGTAGTAAAAGTTTTTTTTAATAGATGAAAAACTAGGAATATTTGTTAAACGAATACACAAGTAGAGAGTTTGATGATAATATTGATATCACTAAATATTAAGCTATTGCCGTTAGCCTCTTAGCTACTTGTAAAGCTGAAGCTGGATGAAACACCTGAAATGTTTGTTTTTAGCTTATATAAGATCATACGTGCAATAATCAGTGAAAACAGGAATGCAAAAATGTTAGCTCCACTGAAGGGAAACTGCACAAGACTCAAAACTGGGTTTAAGTTACTGGTGATCTATTTGTCTAAACATCAATATCATCGCCATCCATACCTTATCTTCATTTCTCACCTCCAAATGCCTTCGCGTTTCCTTCCTAAAAACCTTGGATAATCAACTGCTCTGCTAAAATGCTAAATCTACTGATGGTTAGAGGTATATAATCGTGGTGGTGATTTGAATGATTTAGTGATTCTTATTTATTTGTTTATTTTAAATGTGGAGATGGTCCACAGATGATGCTGGACTAAAAAAAAACACTAGCAAGACTTGCAGCTCTTTGACATTTTAAATTGTTTGGTTTTCAGAAAGTAGCCAGCAACATCTGTCAACATCTTCAGTGTGTGCGTGCGTGCGTGCGTGCGTGCGTGAGAGAGAGTCTGTATTTGTGTCACTGGCATCCATTCGGTTTCAGTGAAGTTCTGTTGTGTATGAGTGATAATTTTTCTTTTCAGGTCTTTTGTGTGTGTGGGTGTGGAAGTTAAACCGAATGGATGGGTGTGTGGGTCGGTGTGGTATGGTAATTTGCAGTGACTCGTTTCAAAAACTCAAAAGCAATACGAACACTGAGGTCACACCGAGTTCAGAATTTGTTGCTCCGTGCTTGAGGTACTAAAACCATCAAACAAACAATGTGACCACTGAGTTAAATATTGTTCAACACATGCACACCCTGCTTTGGAAAGAGGAGAATCCAAGAAATGCTACATTAAAGTATCTTGCGTTTAAGTAGAGAGGCTACATGACCTGAATGTCTTTTCTGGGAGATATTTTTTTGAGTCTAGTAGAGCTTAGTCTTATTAAGACTGACTAATAAACCAAAAGAACAGGGTGGACTCTGTTGGCCCGACCTTCCACATTTAGTCAGCGTGTGACAGACGGTGTCTCATGTTGCTGCGGCCATATAAGAGCAGGGAAACGCGGTTTAACTCCCGCCCACCTGTAGCGTCACTAAGAGCTGAAACCACTCACTGCACGTTACTCCAACACTCAGGTGTGTCGCTTTGAGTCTTTGAACATGGATTAGAAAACAATCTCTTTTGTATTCTGAAGTTATTTCTATCAAAAGAAAGAAGTGGAAGTCTGAAATTTGCAGACAGATTTGCAAAAGTTAACTAGCTCTAGTTTAGTGCTTTTTGATATTTACAGCCTAATATTAAGTAAATAATAGACTGTTGCTACTCTGGAGCTGCTGATTTCAGGCTTCCACGGATACCAAATTTAATTTATGCTGTGATAACCTCTATAATCTGCTTGCAGTCACTAACGCAGACACTGAAAACTGATCTGATTTTGAAGAGCTGCAGGTTGCACGCGGCCTTTCTGCTGACCTGTTGATATGTTATCACCTTTTGTTCGTGTGTCTTTCTGGCCGCACTCTTTGGTGGAAGTTTTTTTTTGTTGTTGCTCAGTACAACTTTTAGATACAGTTAATATACCAATTACTACCAGTTTCAATATCAATTACATTAAAATCAAAGTATCAAAGTATTTTTTTGTAAGAGTCCATATAGTACAAAAATGGACTCTAGTATGTATGTACATATTTTTCTTATACTGTCCCTCTGTGAAGCATGTTAGCTCGCCCCCTGTCTAAAAAGTTGCTGACCACACTCTACTAACTGGCTTCTTCTTGCCTGACTTCCACAAACAGGAATTTGATTCTTTTTAGCCCCGTGTTTTCAACCTAGTGCTTCTGTTTGTGCTTAAAATGACCATGTAAGGACATCCATGCCGAGGTGATGTCATCTCGGGACGAGTAGGAAAAAAAACGTAGTCTGAAGCCTGAGCTTTAGCTCATAGAGATTACTTTTACATACGCTGTCCTCATTTTTTGAAACTTTGCTCATGTTCTAAATAAGCATGCAGTGTTTTATGTGGGAGCATATTAGGAAAACCATAAAAGGAGCCCTTAAATAGAATATTTAATATTAAACTTATTATTATTGTTGTTGCAGAAGAATTTGAGGACTTCTTCAAGTGCTGACTGATACTGTTAGAGGAGACTAACACATAATTTCCACCAATCACCATCTGCAATTTAATTAATCAGCTGTTGCTGTTATCTTTTCTGTCCAATAGGGTTAATTAGACAATTAACCACTTACTGCACAAGAGAAGAGTTAAGCATTGCAAAACATGCCTTAAAAATAGCTGACGTAATCTGACTGCAAAACAATCTTGGAGAAACTTCCATCAAGAGAAAAGCGTGGACAACCTGTAGCTCTTTATACTGACTTTGGCTTTGCTGCGTTGAACGTTTTGTTCTGTGCTGCTGCTGATTATTTTTCTTTCTTCCCTCCTTGCTGCGGCCTCCAGGTGGGCTCAGTTGTGGCTGTGGGTTGGATCCGCTCCCAGAAAGCAGTGGACTGGCGCCTCTTCAGGAACATCTTCCTGGCGTGGTTCGTCACGGTGCCTGTGGCCGGCCTGTTCAGCGCCGCCGTCATGGCCCTGTTTGTCTACGGCATCCTGCCCTACGTCTGAGGGCGCAACGCCGGGAGGGAGAGCAGAGGAGGAAAAAGAGAGTCGGGGAGAGAGAGAGAGAGGGGGAAACTTGGGTAGATGTCATATCTCGAATGTGTGGGTTGCTGATAGAAGAGAAGGAAGAGAGTCGATGCACAAGGGTGACGAGGAAGAAGGGAGGATGGTTTACAGGTGGACTTGGTTGTACTGTAGATGTGAGGAGGGTTGGTTCACATGCTGCCTGGCTCCGTAGTCCAGAGATCTTTTTGACTCATTTGAGTTCCCAATCGGTTTTTATTTATTCTCTTTCTTTTTGGTGGGATTGATTAAAAAAACAAAAGTGTAACTAGTGTACCATTCAATCTGCTGTACATAAGACAATAACAGGGGACTTACTGGTAACTTCTAACAAAACATGTGACAGTCTCCTTAAAAAACAAAACCACGTAAATATAAAAAATACAGAAATAAAAATGATCAAAAAGCAGTTTATTCTGCTAACATAAGCCAGCAGACTCTCCTGCAGTAAATCCATATCCTTCTGCCTGAAATTCTAGGCAGCACAATCGGTCAAGTGCTTACTTTTTATTATCGTTATCATTGTTCCAAAATGCCAGGGGTGAAAAAAAACAACAAAAAAACAAAACAAAACTGTACATATTGTGATATTGGGTCGAGTGTGATTCGTTGTATTGCGGCTTGCTTTCAAACAAAAGAAGAAAAGATGTGCGCGTGGTCAACCAAACCCATCCGTCATCTCACTTTCAACATGCTAGCCAGGTACAACTGGGGCCAAACGGAACGGACGCCTCAGAGAGGAGCGGTGAGACTGTCACTCTGCTTTTGTTTTTTTATTATTATTATTATTTTTCACATGATACCATAGGAACCTAATTTACTAAAGAGTTGATTTTTTGTTTTTGTCAAGAGCTCCTGTATGTTTTTAGAGATCTCATATTTTTTAATGATGTATTATACTGTAATTTGTACTGTAAATAATGTCCTTTAAGAGTTTGGATGTGGGGGTCTGGGATGGGGGATTGGGGATGCGTGCGTGTGAGTGTGAATGGTTTCAGAAAAGTGGGTGGGCGGGGGGGGCCTCTTCACCTCATAATGATGTCAGAATTCACGGTTAGTTTCAACCCCCGCGGCTCATGGGAAACTCCCACCGATGAACACTTGGCAGGTTTTTCTGATGTTGGCAGAAGAATATTGATTAGAACAAAGTGTTTTGCTTTACCAAACCCATCCACAGCAGAGGAAGTGAGAGTTGCCGTTGCATTCACTGTTTTATTGCCTGGGTGAATTGAACAGTATTGACAGAAGGTTCTTTTGTTAACGGCTCCCTCCTCGAGGAGATACGCAGATAGCGAGGGACAGTGAGGTTGCTCTTTAGAGAGCAGAACCATGCCAAAGTAAGTTGTTGTCACCATGTCTGTATGCCAGATAAATGAGGTACAGCAGATGCCAAAACTGATCAGATGTACAAAAAAAAAAAGCACTGATTAAGTTTAGTAAAAATGTTTGCATATCATCATCCATATGCCTTTGACTTTGGATAAAGCAGGAGTCACTTCCTTATATCAAAGGCTCCCTGCCCACTGATGAACCTTTACATTTTTTCATATTCAGATCATCTCAGATCTCGCACCGCGGTTACCCGAGATTATCCGAGTCCAGGTTTCAAATCTATAACAGAGTGAGACATGCAAAAAGCTAAGGCCTTGTGATCTGTCATATCGAATACTTAAATTGTAAAGCGTTATGCAGTCGTCGAAAGGAAGAGGACTCAATCCAAGCCACACGAGTAGCTCCTCAAAATGGGCAGGTGTTGTTTGGAGCAGAGAAGCATTTAGTCTCTCAATCACATCTGATTCAGTCTAAGCGCCATGTCATGAGGTGTGTGGATCACAGCCCGGTGAGGGTTTCAAGGCTGCTCATGCCACAAAAATATCACAAGACTTTTGTCTTAGGACTTAAGGTTGTATTCGGAGGTAGAACTGATCATCACCAGCTTTTTAAAACGGTCACCTGACCTGTAGATGAACAAAGTCTTTTTTTTCTTTTAATTTGAACAAACTCGATGCCAGGTGTCGCAAGTTGTTTTTGTTCTTGTGGTGTGTTTCCTCATTTCTTGTTTTGTTTGTTTGTTTTCTCTCTCTCATGAACAAATCTATGCTTAAGTAGCCACTTGCCTTGTAACTTTGTGTTTTACTTTGTGCAGAAAAAGTAAACTAATTATGTACTGTGGTGTTTACATCGTAACCATATTGTAGAGTTATCTGAAAAACAAAAAACCCACAAAAAAACAACTGTTGCCTAATGATGCCAATGAAAGACAAACTATTAACCGTGAGTTTTTAAGTGCAAGTAAAAAAAAAAAACATTAAAAAAATAACCAGAAGTGTCTAGAGAGAAAGAGAGCGAGAGCAAGTGTGTGCGCAGTGACTCGTTTTTCATTTTGTTTCTTGTAGCGGTAGTGCTGATCCTGACCCCCGTCACCTTACACTGCTACTACAATGCATTAACACTACATGTATGGGTGCAATTCAGTAATAAAGAGGATGACTAGAGAAATTTCATCAGAACTATATTTTTCTACCATATCTGAGTTTTAACCGGGATGAGCTTCCGGACACTTTGGAGGACACTCTGTGGGGCTGATGGTAAAATCTGGCCAATTGGGATTAGTTGTTGTAAGACTGTAATCGCAGCAATACTGAGAAATGGTCTTATTTCAGGGTGCCATGTGCCACACTTCCTCTCAGCCCGGTGGGTTCCTCTAACATATAGACTGATGTGTCGGTTGCCAGTAGATCAGATTTTTAAATTACCATTTTTATTTTTGAATTTTTGATGAAAACACTTTGTAATTTTGTTTCCCTACTGCTTTGGCCACGAGCTTCAAGAGCAGCACAGCACCGTGCCAGAAAACCATTGTGTAGGACTGACCTGATGAAGATGAATGCAATGAGTGGTATCTGGAAACTTGATTGTGAGGAAATTTGTTTCCTTGTTTTTTGGCAGGTTAGCGCTGTTGAAGCTCATGGCCTTCTACTTTTCCACAGGCTGTGTGTTGTTCAGGGGGGCTGCACAGAGCCGGTGTGTTCAAATCCTCTTGTGTTTGTTCTCTGATGCCCGGAGGAAGAATATTTAGAAGGAATTTTGTGATGACACAAAACATTTAGCCCCCACCCCCCACCCAGGAAAATACGCAGCAGAGATCTGAAGCTTTCATGGATGTTTTTTTCCCCCTTTGTCTTTAAAGCAAGCCAGTGTAACGGCCAACTTCTAATTGCTAAACAGCTGAGGCACTCTGGCCTCAAGCAAATGGCACAAAAATGACAAAAATTTGTAAAAGCAGACGGTAGCCTCAAAATTTTTTAAATCTCTCATGCAGTCGTGAGGATAGCATTTTGTGCTATTTTATTTCTTTGGATTCTAGGACCAAAGAGTTAGCATTTTATACTATGGCATTTATAACTGCTGAAATAAAAGCAGTTTAAACCTTAAAAATCTATATTCATAATATGAAGTCAGAAGCTGAAGAAAGACTCTTTCATTTGCCAGCTTTCTACTCTGAGGCTTGTGGAAGTTTGTTGCTCTGGTGCAAGATTTACTAAACAATATAATGAGCCGGAAAAAACTTTATTTCCTTCATGCATTAGGAGGTTTGTTTGTGAATGGACTGAGGTCGGCCGGCATGCATCGCGTGTTTGATTTGTGCAGTGTCACCATCCTCTGCTGCAGCCCCCCTTTGTAACTCACACTGTCATTTTCTATATTGTTTTCCATGCATTCTCAGTCCTGATAGGCCAAAAGGGATGCACTGCTCAAGATGGGGAGGGAAAGTGAAAATCGCCTTCTGCTGGCAGCTTTAAGTATCTGAGAGAAAGGGCTACATCCTGAGCCGGCAACAGGAAATATATACATCTAACGTGGTTCCCTGTAAAATCCAAACACTTTCAAAATTTGATCACAAACGCAAAAAAAGATTGGGCGTAGGGATGACCACGGCCCCTAGAGGGCGCAGTTTGACACGTTCCCTCCCCGTAGAGAGGGACAGCATTTTAGACGGACTGTTTCAACGATTGGTTGAATTGCCATTGAGGGAGCTGCTGTGCTTCTGCCGCATTTCAACTGTTTATCAACCTTTTTGTAGACAAAAAACGAAACAGAAAAACAGAATGTGCCATTTCTTTCTCCCTGAATGTGCAATACAAGCCGTTTCTCGTGAAGGTGCAACTACATTGCCGTCACTTTAGTGGTCGTGTGTAGCTCCACCTGCCCTGGTGTAATAGCGCCCTCTCCTGTGTGTGTGGGACTAGCACCGCCTCCCAAAGGCGGAGCAGCATCAGCTCAGACTTTCATCTGGATGTGGCGTGCTGTCTCCTAGTTGTCGGGTCTGTTTTGTAATAGAATGTGCTCCTTGGCTGGCCTGCAGGTTTTACAGCTCTGTGATGTCTCTTTACTGTTTACTGCTACTTAACTGTCCGGTCCTTCAGAAATAAGATGCATATATATATGAATACAAATGAATAAATTAAAAAAGAAATAAAAAAAAATCTAAAGAAACTGTAGCCTGCTTCTACAAAATCTTAAAGCTCTTCTGATTTGCATATATCGTACTGTAATGTTTTATTTAAGATTTAGTGAGAAAATGTCTGCATTTAAACTAAATTATGGGAATTAAAATTACAAAGAGTACCTAAAATCCACTGAGTTGTGTCTTACTTTTGTAAAGGTGTGTGGTATGTGTTTGTATGCTGCATAAGGAAAGCTGGGAAAGTGTATAATTAAACACTGAGGCTTTATTGCATAGTAGGCACAAGAGACGGATATTTAAGACAAGTTACCACATTGTTTATTTCACATAGTGTTTATTTATTTTTTTTGCATTATGGGTAAGCTAGAGAACATCTGGCAATGGGATCAGACCATCGCTGATGCTAGCGAGTTCTTGAACCACACCATTTTGTTTCCTTTTATACAAGATAAAGATGTCTCATGTTAGGAGTTATGCATGTATTAAAAATCCAACAGTGGAAAGGAGCCACAGGACCTTTGGGCCCCTACTTCCATTTAGTAGTGTTGGACCACACCCAACCTCTTGATCGTGATTACAGGAATGTAGTTAACATTGTAAAGTTTTGACTGGTTTTAGGTCCAGCGTTATTGAGGCATGCTGATAAAATGTAACCACAGAGACAGAAACACCTGATAAAGTATTCAAAAAACACCTCCGTGGGAGTTCCTGTTGCAGTATAAAACTCACAAGGTAAAAACAATAACACCCCACCCCTTATTTAGCTTATTTAAGTCAATAAAGAGACAAAAAAAACCCCAACTTTTGATATATAGTCAGAGTGTTTTTTTTGTTTTTTTAATCCAGTCCAATCTCTGGTATTATGAACCCAACAACGGCAACTTGCTTTATACAATGTGTAGTTTCCACTGCATCTAATATGAACTTCTGCTCATGCTGCGTCTCTTCTCATTTCCCCCCACTTTGCATGCATTTGGTTTCCTGCAGCAACCGACCTCTTTAAAGACCAAATGAATCTGCCAGATCTTTTCAGGCTGCTCTTATTTAGGGTTTTGAGCTGAAATAATAATTCACTGACTTGGCTCTGATTGCACTTTAAGTTCTCAGCAGCATTGCTGTCTGAGCTGGGTTTCATTTAATACATCTCTACAGTAACGGTGAAAAATGCTGGTTTGATGCTGGCACACAGCAAGTGACACCATTTGCGTTCAGAGGGATAATGGTTTCCATTTCACATCGGTTAAATCAGTAACCAACAAGAAATGGAAACCATAACCTCTCTGCAGTGTTTCAGTAACACACAGCCTGCGTGCTTTGTGAATGGTATTTGTCCACTTATGTGTGGTTCTCGTCCTCATCTTAATTGACAACAGACAACCCTTCAGCTGTGATGAAATGTGGCTCCTGCACTGCAGTAAAAATCTCATCAGGGTTCAGGGTGGAGGTTCACTTCATTTTAAGCCCCTGACCTCCTCCTTTGTCTGCAACCACCGGTTTGCATGCTTAACTTCAAACACCAAGTCTAATTTGTTTGTAGTATGTTGCAGATGTGTCTTTCTGTGAATCAATTTTCTATAAAGACCTTGTTTTCAAGTTGTTCTTGAAACGCGGTATGTCTCCAGATGACGATGATGAAAGTATTTCACAGTAGTGTGTGTACCTTGCAGTCTTTTCAGTAAAGCTGTAAAAAATTAGCCTTAATTTTCAACTACATGATTCTTAAAAAGTCCCAGTCCTGCCATTGCCATCGATTGGAATTTGTAGATGCTAAAATTGTCCACTGTTCCATTCTGCAGCAGTGACGTACATTATATTTAGAAACAAAGGTTAAGAATGACACCTATGTGCTTTAAAAACCAAGACGTGTTTATTTTGTGTGTTATTCCAGACATATTGTCCACTGTTCCATTGATGTTTGAGATTCTTTGGCCCTAGATGGTCTGCTCACATGACACATGGCAGACAGGCCGGAGATACGGCTATTTTTGTTCTATATTGGTATTCATGTGGCGTTCGTGTGTTCAGATTTGCATAAGTTCACAGTGAAGCATAACAGATATTCGTCTGGATTTGTGCGTGTTCATGTGAGGAGGAAAGTGCAGCTGCCATAATGTGAGCAAAAAAAACACTGGAGTATTTGTGCCTTTAATAGTTAATGTGTTGTTTTTTTTCCTAACTGTGCACAGAAAAACTGTGGAAATTTTCCCCAGGTAAGTTTCCACTACATTTTAATGACCCAAGTTAGTCCAGTGGTTGTCAAGGAAATCAACTTTTATAAAGATCATTTTTGTAAATTTGAGATTATCATGCTGTTTATTTCTCCCAAACTTAACTGTGAAAATACAAGAACAGCCGAGCTGGCCTGCAAGTCAAAAACCAGGGCACAAAACCAAAAGTTCATTAGCGCCACTATAATCTCAAGGATAACCGAAGAGACTCATACCCTTGTTCTCATTTCTGTCAGAGAGCTCAGTAATAAAAGCCATTCCACACTGACAGATGTGCCTCACTCTTTGTGAGTTACACAATGTCAGAACTCGAGGTGAAATCTTTTTGTTATTGTTATTAAAAAAATAACCCACACTCAGTTTAGTCCAGTGTGTCAATCTGCTGCTGTGAATGAGGACAGGAGAAGACCAACTGAGAATGCCTTGACCTGTAAGATAGGCGTTTATTCTTTTTCTTGTAACCATGTTCTGTACATGCTCGCCAAGAAGTTAGCAACTGAGAGAAAAAAAAAAGAAAGTAAAAAAACCAAACAAACAAACCAGAGAGCAGGATTGAGTTAGTTCATTTCCATCCAAAAACATTTTTTATTGTCCTCCAAACTGAAAGGTTTACCCTGTGATTTGGCTTCTTTGATGAGCCAAAAAACATACATTGCATTTCCTCAGGTAGCAGTGGATGCATTCAAAGATCGTTTTGAGTGAGAGAAATTAATGGAAAGAGCAATACAGGATTCTCTCCTTCAAGTCACATGATGAGTAATCTTTGCATTCATGAGTAATGGAGAGAAGATTAATCTCAGATCACTGGAAGCTTGAGAAAGTAGCATCTGATCTTCATTAAGAGAGAAAGGAGGGAGAAGATGAAAAACAAAAACAAACAAAACAAAAAAAAAAACAACCACATGAAGAACAGGGTCGCGTTTCTTCCATGTTAGAAAAGGCCTGAAAACGGTCACACTGCTGAGATCGTTTCATCTCTGGTTGCCTCCAAGTTGTGTATCGCTTTTATGTAGAGCATCTGTAGTGTACACAAATGGACACTGGATATGCAATTCAAAACCAAAGTGCCCACAGTTGATAGAAAGCAAGGTCACATGACCCAAAACAGGTAATGTCACACAAAGGGGAGGGAGGAGGGTGAGATTGGACTTGAAGGTAACCAAACGCCGTCATCAGTCTGTGTTCGTGTGTGTGTCTAGTGTGTGCGGTGAAGTGCCGGCGATGCGGCACTCAGCACCATTAATGTACAGTTACTCAGGTGTACGAACAAAAAGAGAAAGACCTCCCCGTCTAGTGACTGTGCAGTTAAAAATGGGCACATGGTGATTTAAGCTCATGCTTAAGTTGTGGTAAACCATCCAAGCACTTCTTTAATTTATAACTATAAATACACAGCAGCGTTTTTACCAGAGAGGCTTCTGTCTGCTCCTCTCTCTTGGTGAGTGGAGTGTGTGACAAGTTTCTCTTAAAATGGCTAACTACGCTTTACTCATCTGCTAAAGGAAACACGGGTTATGTGGATTTGATTATCAACTTTCATATAGATTTTTCTATAATATATTTATATAGTTATTTTTCCTTTCTCTCACGCAGCCACCACTCTTGCTTTCACATTCTCTCGTCTCACTACTTTTATTCAATGGACAACATAAAACATGGGGTGGAGTGGGGAGCAACAGAGCTGAAATGACATGATCACTGACAGATGATCACTGAGAGGGGGGAAAAAAAAAAAAAAAAAAGCCAAGAAGAACTGCAGTCTTTTTGTCATCCATTGGCAGTTGGACTGACGCCGCAGTCAGCCAGTTACAATGGTGGTTTTGAGGGGAGGGAAGGGCCATGTCATCAAAGAGGCGGCGGAGGAGGCTCTTTCTTCGTTGGTGCCGTTTTAGTTGTCGTCTTCGTCGTCTTGGTAGCTGGGGTCGTCTCCTTCAGGTTGAGGTTCTCCAGTGCCACGTCTAAGGTCATGACCTCAACACAACCCATGGCCTCGAAGTCAGCGAAATTCCGCAACGAACCGTGACAGTCATCCTCGTCCTCGGAGGAGGAGGCTGAGGCGTCCTCGTCTGGTAACAGTGTGGACAGCAGCAGCTCCGTCACGAACAGGCTCCTGTCGGCCCACTGGGCCTCGCATGCCTGGCGCTCTGCCTCAGACAGCCGTGGTTCGTTCAGCCTGCACAGAGAGAGACAGAAGGAGTGATGAGAATAAGAAATTTATTTGTAACATAAAAATCCTGTAACTACTTATTCCGCACTGAAAAATCCAAAACGTCTACTACTGGACACAAGATTTAGAGGTTTTTAAATTTCCACAAAGGGGCCAAACGTAATGCTTGCAGATAACTGCCTTAAACTAAGATTTAAAAGGAGTTTCTGATCACATGTTAAGCTGTGAACCAATGAGTGGATCACACATACATACTCAAACGAGCATGCACGTGGTTGTTGCTAATTTTTCCACTCAATTTCCACGTTCTCTGCACAGAAAGAATTTCTAAACACAGGTAATAAGTAAAATACATTTAAAAAAGAAAAACAAAAGAGACTTGAAAACTGGCACACCTGCTGAGTAGAAACTGGGAGCTATGTGCAGTATGCTGTGTGTTGGGCTCGGGTGGGCCCGGGTTAGGGCTTGGGTTGGTATTATGGTTGGCGCTTGGGTTGGGGTTTGCAGTGGCTGAATTGGTATTTAGAATAGCATTGGCTCGGCCGCCACCTCTGGTGGCATTTCGGGCAGTCTCCAGCTGTTGACGTGCTGCCTGGGCCTGCTGGCGTTCCAGCTGGAGTTGCATCTGAAGCTGCTGGAGCTGGGAGGCAGACGGGCCCGAGCTGAGCTGACCTCCTGCTGAACGCCGTACCCCCGACAACTGAGACAGAAGCTCTGGAGGAACAGAAAACAACAGAGGTCAGTGTAAAGCATTAAAGCTGATCATACTAACT